GGTTATCCCGCGAGAGCCGTTTAAGTGTCGCGCGATCGGCCGCGGCGCGCGATTTCCACCCCGCGTTCATGTCCACGGGCGCGCTTCACACGTGTAAAACGCGCTGTATCTCTCCAACCATTCGTTTGATTTTCAAACTTTTGGTCTCGTTTGAAAGCTACTATAAGTACCTGTTCAAATAATGTGCATTTTTACATTTCCCTTTAAATAATTTGCCATATTATGAAAAAATACGTAAATTTTTTAATTTCGATCATCTTAACAGCCGTTGATTTTTTGTTTCTGGGCGCAATTAGAGCCCTTTATTTTCTTGAGGTGGGTGGAGGATTTTCTGACCTTCAAAACGATACCAAAACCTTTTTTTTGTGACGAATAGCAAACGCGTGAGGACGATTTTGGTCGCGCGCTCGGGTAGAGGTTCGCCACTTATGCGCCGTGCAACCTCGCGTCGGCCCGCGTTCATGCGCTACACAATTGGAATATGCGCTGATTTTTGATCATTCATCGCACAATTTTCATGAAAATTGTTAATTTTGGAAAATCCTTTCATACCCTCTTGAGACGAAATGAATACCTATAATAAAAAAAAAATACTCTGGTTAACACGATAAATATGAAAAAATGTAAAAGGAACTAATTACTATTCCTTAAGTTTTTATGAGATGGAGATGGATGAAACCGCAACAAACTTGATTCATTATTTGATTCATTACACTTTTACGACGATATATTGCCGATAATCAGCATTCTCATGGAATTTTAGGAACGATTTATACAATTTTCTCGCTTAGAGGCGAACTCTACTATTTAATTAAAATTGATCGCAAAAATATCAGCGGGCTTAGAATCCTTCCCATGCAACCAAGTGCATAGTGCACGTGGAAAAACTTTTCCGATGCAACAGCGGCGTTTCTCTCTCTCTTTCGTCCCCGAAGGCACTTCCAGATGCCTGTTTTCGAACCCTGGAAAAATATACCTGCATTTTGCCTCTATTTTTGGCGGTAAGTAGAGGTTTTCTTAGCAGACGCAGGGGTGGATATAGGTTTTCTTTAATTACGCTGATAGATATGATATGATTGAGAAACCGCAACAAACTTGATTCATTATGTAATTTTTCTCGATTTAAAAATGGGGATATAACGGCGATTATTGGCATTCTCGTGAATTAGCTATAGTTTGATTCATACAAATTTCTTCCTTTGATCAGTTAAGCTGGTCACAGAAATATGTTCTTATGCTTGAATCTTGTAAATCAGCTAAGAATTGTAGGATCTGTTCGAACATCAGCTCTCAAAGTTCAATGTTAACCGAGATATCGTGCTTTGAAAAATTCGATTTATGCCGTTATCCACCGCGGTAGTGAAACCCTTGGTTTCCTCCAATTTGCTTTCATCCGAGTTTCACGCATGTTTCAATTGTTTCACGTTGAGTAACCAGTGAAATTGAAAGTCAGCCTGAAAAATGAGAGCAAGGTGGAAGAAACCAAGAGTGTCACTGTAGTATAGTGACACCCAAGCGCCCAAGCCGTATCCAAACCGGTACCGCTTTGGATGATGTCATCAACTGAATTTTTCAAAGTTGGATATCTTGGTTAATATTGAACGCAGAAAGCTTTTGCTCGTACAAATCTTTTTTTTTTATAGCTGATCCACAAGAATCAAACGTCAAAACACAATTCTGTAACTAGCGCAACTGACCCATTAAAATTGATCGCTAAAAGGTCAATGTGTTTAGAATCCTTCCCCACAACGAATCCGGGAACTCCAAAAAGTTCACGTGGTAGAGTTTCTTTGGACTTTCAATTTTAAGGAGACTCTCCATATCCAAGCATCATATCAGCCGCGAACCCTCCCCCCCTTCTTTCACAATGTGCCCGAAAACCGCCCTGCATGACATTTAAGGCACACTAAGGGGGCATCGATGATGTCCTCCGCGTTAGTAGGAATTTTTTAAAATTCGGTCAATTTATAATAACTTTTGTTAAACTATTACTGCAATGACTAATACGAGCACCTCCAGAACATTGCATGCAGATGAAAGTGCATTGAACTTGAGCTTTAACACTGGAGCATCTCTTTGTGCAGGCAGACTTGCAATTGCATTTAACAATCTCCCGACAGTCGTTCCAAATGAAAAGAAGATTTGACCAGATGAGTGACCAACTTTCTCTCTTTTCGATCAACTCGTACTTCTCACGGCCAGGAATTTATTTTTCTGGAGACAAAGCTCGTTCCCAAACTTGCCTTATCTGGTCAGCAGCGCAAAGGGTGTGCTGCTTTAATTCACCTTTTGTGGGGGGCAAATTATGAAGTTCCCTATTTTTGGTGTAAATAGAAATTTTCTCAGCAGATGCAGGGGCTTATTTGCTGCTTTTTCGTAGTAAGAACGGCAAAACAAGTACATGCAGTGCGTAGAAAATTTTTCCGATGCAACAATGGCGTTCCTCCTACTTCCATCCTCAAAATCGCTTCCAAATATCTACTTCTAAACCCTAGAAAAAGTTCTATTTCCTCTATTTACCGCCAAAAATAGAGGCAAAATGCAGGTATATTTTTCCAGGGTTCGAAAACAGGCATCTGGAAGTGCCTTCGGGGACGAAAGAGAGAGAGAAACGCCGCTGTTGCATCGGAAAAGTTTTTCCACGTGCACTATGCACTTGGTTGCATGGGAAGGATTCTAAGCCCGCTGATATTTTTGCGATCAATTTTAATTAAATAGTAGAGTTCGCCTCTAAGCGAGAAAATTGTATAAATCGTTCCTAAAATTCCATGAGAATGCTGATTATCGGCAATATATCGTCGTAAAAGTGTAATGAATCAAATAATGAATCAAGTTTGTTGCGGTTTCATCCATCTCCATCTCATAAAAACTTAAGGAATAGTAATTAGTTCCTTTTACATTTTTTCATATTTATCGTGTTAACCAGAGTATTTTTTTTTTATTATAGGTATTCATTTCGTCTCAAGAGGGTATGAAAGGATTTTCCAAAATTAACAATTTTCATGAAAATTGTGCGATGAATGATCAAAAATCAGCGCATATTCCAATTGTGTAGCGCATGAACGCGGGCCGACGCGAGGTTGCACGGCGCATAAGTGGCGAACCTCTACCCGAGCGCGCGACCAAAATCGTCCTCACGCGTTTGCTATTCGTCACAAAAAAAAGGTTTTGGTATCGTTTTGAAGGTCAGAAAATCCTCCACCCACCTCAAGAAAATAAAGGGCTCTAATTGCGCCCAGAAACAAAAAATCAACGGCTGTTAAGATGATCGAAATTAAAAAATTTACGTATTTTTTCATAATATGGCAAATTATTTAAAGGGAAATGTAAAAATGCACATTATTTGAACAGGTACTTATAGTAGCTTTCAAACGAGACCAAAAGTTTGAAAATCAAACGAATGGTTGGAGAGATACAGCGCGTTTTACACGTGTGAAGCGCGCCCGTGGACATGAACGCGGGGTGGAAATCGCGCGCCGCGGCCGATCGCGCGACACTTAAACGGCTCTCGCGGGATAACCACTCGTAGCACAAAAATGCTTTTGGTATCAAATTAAACGCGAGAGTAAGACCCATCTCTTTTACTGACGAGAAAATGTCAATTTTCCTGCTCAGTTAAAAGTTATTTTGCTTTGAAATTTTAGGAATTTTCAAGGAAAAATTTTTTTGTAAAATTTTGGACAAATTGTTGGCCGAGTTGAATCTGTTATAATTTATTCATATTTAAGGCCCTTTTAGCTCTCACTTAAAAAAAAGAAAATCAAAATCGGACAATTAGCAACAGAGATATAGCTGTTCAAAAAAGCGCTTGGCCGCCATCTTTAACGGCCGCCATCTTGGATCCTGCACGGATTTGAAAGTGGTTCTACGGACAAAAACTTTTATTTTTTCATCTAGTATGACCTCCCGAAGTGGCAATTTCCAATAAAAAAATCGTCGATTTTGATCGTACCCACCGTACTAAAGTCAATGAAAGGAGTCGGACAAAATGCGGAAGCATTAAAAGCTCATAGCTATGCTAATACGGAACGTAGAGGTTTTAGAAGTATTTTCATCGATTTTCTCGTATTTCGCTCAAGGAGCTCCCCATACAATTTATAATATGACAATATATTAACATAAAAATTTTCAGCCAAAACTCTGTGGGAGGTTTGTTTTCTTTTGCAGCGGGCTTTACGCGAGGATCTAAAATAGCCGAGTGCTTTATTTTTCATTTACACTTCGAAATCATTTTGTGGACATTGATAGTTGCTCCACAAATCATGATCGCGGTATCAAAACTGAAGCACAAAGGAGACTCACATCCTACACCTGTATGCAACTATTCGGGCCTAGGAGATGTATCATCGTATAAACGAAGATTTGAAAACGCTTCGCCATTTTAGATCCTCGCATTAGTCGCAGTATCGCAGGGAAGACGGCCGTTGTTGGGTGGTTGGCGCTGTGGGTGAAATGGTTTGTGCCTGGGAAGTCAAAACGCCTTCTTTCCCGTGCGTATGCAACACGGACATCCGTTGAGCCCGAATAGTTGCATCTAGGAGTTGAAATGAGTTTTTGTCGTATTCGACACTACCTAAGAGCTCTTTGCTTGTCTCCCTTGCATCGTAACTTAATTTCAGCGTTGTCTCAAGTACGGATGAAGTGAACTATTGCTGATTTTTATCGCGACATTGTCAACTTTCCGAGTAAAGCTTCGAGTGTTTAAATATGTTTAGGCTACATTTAGATCTAGATCGGGTCCGGGATTGTCCAAATGATTCATTCCACGGAGTGTAGATCGTTAATGAGCCAAAAATTGTGGAGTTGTGGGAATCCAAGGTAGGCCCCCATAACGGCCCTTATTAAAACCCCTCTTTTACGACTTCTTGAATTCATCACTACTCCTAACTTACTATCCCCTAAAACGTTACGTAGTGCGTTTCAGTCAAACTTGGTCCATTTTAAAGTAGACTTAAACGGAGGTATTCTGTATTTGGATCCGAGGTTTTTGTGGTACGAACCTGATCACCGGTGAGAGATGCCGCCTCTGGAAGTAGTTCGTACTCGTCAATATCGGTGGATGTCTCTATGGCAGTATCGTTGGGTTTGGACTTGGAGATGGTTGCGGCGGTGGTAGCGTTGGTCGAGCTCGGGGTTGTGCTCGTGTCGCAGAGGCATGGCCCGCTCAACACAGAGACGATCACCAGGCCCGCGACCCATAAGGGCCCCATGCCGGGCGCAACCCTGTAACAAAGTAAATAAGGCCTCGTGAGAAGAAAGAATTACTCAGAACAAAAAGTATGAAAGAACGCAAAAAAGAAAAACAATAAACAATTTTCTGCGTGATGTAAGCTACCTTTTCGTATCTAAGGCCGGAGAAAAGCAGAAATAATTGGACAGCATTTTGCAATTAGGAACTATAAATTCCGGCCCAGTTTAAAAACAACATATGTGCCATTAGTTTCCCTATGCACATAAGTGTTTTTTCAGATGAGCCAGAATTTATAGCTCCAAATTGCAAAATGCAGTCCAATTGGAATTCACCAGGGCATGTAAAATTTCAGGGACTCTTTTCCAGGAACCAGGATTTTTTTCTTCTATACCGCTTTGAGGCTGTGGAGGAAAACCGCTTGACACGACGGAAATGGGAAAAATTGAGAAAATCATCGTCGGAAAGAGGCTGGAAGACGTGCGTTTGCCGTTTGCCGTTTGCCGTTGCGACGTTTAAAAATTTCCGCCGCAATTTTATTTTTTTTCACAGAGAAATTGTTCAACGGAGCTGTCCGAGAATTTCACTGAATTTTCTTTGTGCTGCCGATAAAATGCAGTGAAATTTTCAAACAGATTCAACCAGAGACAAGAAACCCTCAACTAGTATCTTGGCCATGGTGGAAGCTTTTAATTTAGGGACTACAGCATTCTACTGTTGACTTCCCTGCATGATTGATGTTCAACAACGTGTTGGCAATTTCGTTTTACAAACAAGCCGAAAATGGCCGAAGTTTGGGAAACTTATTCGGCTCATGACGTCACCCGAAGCTCATCATCCACCATGTAGGGAGGTCAATAGCCGAAATTAGAGTGATGACTGTTGCTCTTTTATAATTTTCCATGAGGAATTGTTGAATCCCCAAAAGTAAAAGCCTCCACCTGTCGCCAAGAGGTCAGTGGGGGGTCTCTTGTCTCTGGATTCAACGAACAATTTCTCCGTAGAAAAATAAAATGGCGGCGAAATTGTCAAACGTCGCAAGGCGCTCGTGACACTTTGACCAGAAGGTGACGATTTCTTCTGAAATCAAGTCGCTTTTTTCCGGTGGCTCACAACTCCCGACTTTTACATCACATTCGGAGCGTTCCGAGGAGCGAAAATTGAGGCGGGGCTAAATTCCGGGTTGCCGGAAGCGCGCACGACATGTGCGGTGAGTTATCGGGTGTGTTACGTGTTATTACGGTTTCTTTCGGGAGTGCGATCAGCGACCGTTGCACGGTCCGCTGCCGCCGCAACGTTTTCGCGGATCCAGCCGAGATTTTATCCGATTCCCGTGTCCGTGCCCGTGTCCTCACACCCCCCTCCCCCTCCCCCCACGCGAAACCGATGCGACGCCAGGTTTTGCGGAAGGCGTAAATTTTACCGTTTCAACCCGAAAAGTTGCGAGTGGACTTTTTAGTGGCATGAAATTCTAGCATCAAGGCATTTAGCCGGTATTGACAGGGTCGCCATACTCAGGGAATACTGGGAAACCTCGGAAATGTCGGGAGTTTCTATGAAGTCAGGAAAACCCTGAAAATGTCGGGGAAACTGGCGAAAATTTCAGGGAGAAATCGTCAAATCGTATGACGTTATTTGCTTTCTCGAGGGGGTTTGACGTTTTAAACAACAAATTTTGCCTAAAAAATATTTCTAACCATGTATTTTTGAACTATCTGGCATTTGCTCAATCGTCAAGGAATTTAACCAAAATATGTCAGGGAAACCAGGGAAATGCCAGGGAATTTTATCTTCTAAATTCTGTCGCAACCCTACATTGATGTTCAGGGCAACAAAATGCCTAATTATAATGCAACTAATATGATGGTTAAAATAGTGCTGAATCCACGCTATTGTGAGGAATACTTAAAGGAAGAAAAATAAAAAATTGAATGATAGTCAGGAGAGGAATCTGATGAGTTTCAGTGCGAGACCAAGGGAGAGGAGTGTTCAGTCCACGCAGGTACATTCGAATCTCTCTTGACGCTGAGATGGAGTGTCTAGCTTGCAACTTGTTCTATAGGACCTTAGAGAGTTTCCCATCGAAATATCTATTTCCGACTTTTCGAACCAACTCGACGAAATTAGCTCTACAGATATTTTTCCTCGGTGGAAAAAGCGGTCTTCTCCCGTAGAGGTCACAGCTCTACTTCTTTTTGCTTCAGGGAACCTTCAAGTTTAGGGCTTGATCACATTTTGCCCTCGTCACCTTTGGCTTCATCACGAGTTGGCCCTTTGTCGATGAAAATTGCATTATTCAGCTGTGACTTTGACGCAGGAAATCCTTATTCACTCACAAGATCACCATCCTTGATTCATTCTCTCAGAAAAGCCAGAGCCTGATAGCGAGTGTCGCACAGTGGATCGAGTCAATAGGAGAGGTCGGATAAAATTCGGAAAATTTAAACGGTTATAACTCCGTTTATACAAAAATTTGAGGTTCTTAAAGGCGATTCATTGGTTCCCTACTAAAATTTCCTGCTGTATCACTCGATCCTTCTTTGAAAAGCAACGAAACGAACATCAAAATTTGCAGTTTTAGTCAAAAAATTCATATCCGACCTCTCTAATTGACTCGATCCACCGTGTGGCGGTTCGATCATCAACCTTTGTGCGTTCACCTCATTCGCATATTTGGACGTATTTCTGCCAAACGGACCTTTGTGCATTATGACTTGAGCCCTGTTATGCTTATATTCTTATGGGTTTAAGGGCTCATGGTCTTGATGCACATAGTTCCGTTTGGCAGAAATACGTCCATTTGATGCCCATCGAATCATGATTCGGAATATCCCTCTCGGTGTTTTTGCAAGGTCCCGTTGAAAATTAACGTCCCTCATTTGGAATCAAGGCTGACAATGAGTTTTAAACGCGGGCCAATGTGGTCGAGTCGAATAATGCCGTGCTAAAAAAGAACGCCGTATGAGCCTTCAGGCGTTGCCAAGTTTCCTCCGATAAAAACCGAATGTACTGGGAAAATTGCGAATTTTTTCCCCCAAAATTTTCAGACAATTTTATACGCAATTTAACCTAAAATATCTGAAAATTTCAAGGAAAAATATGCATGAATGTGGTAAAAAATACATGTTTTATCAAGAAAAGTTTGGCAACTCTCGAATGTTCATATGGCGTTTCTCCTTAGCACGGCAGAATAGCCAAGGCGATCGTGTTTTCCTCCAGGCTGTGGACCAATCTCTTAACGAACAAATAGAGCAGAGTCATGTTCGCCGGGTAGTGCAAATAGGGTTCAGCCCGGGGGTGTCGGTCTCAAAAGTCATCGGGGACCCGGTGGTCACTTGCCAAGTTGAGGTCGAGCACTTTCTCCGTCATCGGCGCATGCGCGCGGCCGTGTCGCGCGTCGCGTCGCGTGGCCGATCCTCGGAGTTCCTGCCGATCCTAATCTCTTGACCAGAGCTCAATCCTCGGCCCCGTTTTCGCGACCCAACTACGAGGTCTGTCCACGACCAGTCCAGTGGTCACTCCGAACGTCCCGTGGGCCCTTGCTATACGTAACGAAGCTGATTACATATAACCCCTGGAGCTTGCTCGTAGTATTTTGAAACGAGAATCAGTCTTGGATTAGCTCTGAATTGGCATACCAATCGAAAGGGTCACACATTGATGGCTAACGAAAAATACCAGCCATTTGCAATCAGACGGTTTTGCAAAAAGAGAAAACTTCGTCATTTTTGTAATTTTAAGGTTCACTGGAAAAAACACATCGGATCTAGAGTACAGACTCTTGAAAACATTGACAAGAAAAAGGACTCCTAATTCAATCAGATTTAAGCTTAAATCAAAAGGAAATCCGCTCAAATTAAGAGGCTTGGTTCTTGATTTAAGCTTAAATCTGATTGAATCAAGAGTATTTTTTCTTGTCGATGTTTTTGAGAGTCTGGACTTTAGATCCAATGTGTTTTTTTTCCAGTGTTAGATTTGCATTTTTTTTCATGTATTACAACGTCATTGCGTGACCCTCCGGTCAAAGTATCACAAGCGCCATGCAACGTTTAAAAATTCCCACCGTCATTTTATTTTTTTACAGAGAAAATTTTGGTCGAATCTGTTCGAAAATCTCACTGATTTTTATCGGCTGCACAAAGAAAATTCAGTAAAATCTTTGGACAGCTTCGTTGAACAATTTCTCCGTAAAAAAATAAAATGGCGGCGGAAATTTTTAAACGCCGCATGGCGCTTGTGATACTTGGGCAGGATGGTCACGATATCGATGGTTACTGAACAATACTGTCTATCTGCAAACAGACGGTTTTGCAAAACGAAGAGAAAACTTCGTCAGTTTTGTAATTTTTAAGTTTAGATTTGTAATTTTTAATGTGTAACAGCGTCATTGAAGCGTTCCCGTACGGAATTGGGGAAAAAACTGAAATCATCAGCTTACGTATTTTATACTATTGATTGCGGCAAAGTCGCGAACTCTTTTTTGGCAAAACTGTCAGTTAGGCGTTGTTGTTCGTTATCAGATGACACCATTGATGAGTGCGATGTCTCAGTATGTTGTATTGATGTCCCAGCATTTTGTGCTCGTGTCAACACACACGATAAGCGAGCTCTTGACGAACTATCCAAGCTGGAAGGAGTGGATCTGGTGGAAATCAAAATAGGTTTCTGTGTGCATGATTTAACTTGAAAAATAGCGTAAGAACAACCGAGGCATACGTTTAAAATCCTTGATCAAGAAAAAAATCGTATTTTATCGCCTCTGTCGATTTATGGAAACACTTTTCGACCGATTGTGAGCAATATTTCAAACTTTTGTCGCGATGAAATGAAAGTCTCCGAGAAGCTGTGTTGGTTTTGCAAGTTGGCAACACTGGTTTCTCTTCTTTAAATCCATTAAAAGTATCGATTTCAGGCGAGGCAGGCTGCCTCGCCAGAATTCGATTATTTTACATGCATTCAAATGTAAGAAAAATAGTGTTGTCAACTTGCAAGAATCGCCACTGCCGAGAAGTTACGAGTATCGAGGACTGATG